TCAGCGCGCTGTTAAGCAAAATACGGAAAGCACGACTGGATGAGAATGATTCACTTGTACGACTACTAGGAATGTTTCGTGAGCTTTAAATAGAACGGAAACGTTGTCAACAGAAACGATGGTGAGAAGGGATAGAGTGGTGAAAGTGGAGCCGTCTCAGAGTGCTTCTAGAACAGTAGAAACGCGCACGAAACAAACATACCACGAATTTACAGGAAACCCTAAACAACTGCTAGCCGGATTACTTTTGCTGCACATAATTCATTTCAAAGTGTGTAAAACGGCCAGAAGGAACTCACCAGCGGATATCCAATAGTGTGCTCAACATAACCGGGCTTGTGCTTCGACTTATCAATCAACCACAACTCCTTGAAACCAAGGCCGTAGGTCATTGGGGCTGAATCTTCTTGCAAGTGGTACTGGAAAAAATTTAACACCTGAGAGACAGTTACTTTCAGAATGCTGAATAAAACGTCAAATGGTTCCCTTCCAAGCGTGACTCCCTGTATTTTTGGGTACAGAAACTGTTGCCTCCCAAAACTTTTAAGCTCTTCTCATGGGAGCAATGGAGGAATTTAAGATAATCAGAGAAAATGCAGTGGTGCGCGTGTGGGTGCTTTGTTCAGATTCTCTACCAGATGAGCGAAGTACATGCGAAAAAGCAAAGCTTGAATGCTACTCATCTTACCGAAAACAGAATGAAGATATGCAACAGTAGTCACAATATACAAAGTATAAAGTAATCGAGTGTACAGTGTTATACCATTTATCATCACTACCTTATTACTGCTTATGTTGGAGAGCTGCAGCAGCAATTTAAAGATTTAAGCACGAGCAGAAGCAGCGTAAAAAATTAAAAGTTTTGTTCAAGAACGAAGAAGAAGCAAGGAGATGCACGTTCAGACCAACAGCACTGTGTGAATGAGGCCCAAGTTCGCAAAGAAAAAAAAAAAATGCAAAAGAAAGTCGGATTTGAATCTGTGTGTCATGATAATTACATAAATAAATTCTATGATATGGCTGTAGAACTACTCTTTGGTTCCCTACTTTCTACCACTTGACCACAAAGAGACGCAGCACGGAAGGCTGGCAGACAAGTGATGTAGCTTTGGCCATACCAGTCCATGATGGTAGAGTTGCCAGCTACATTTGAGGTGTGAAGGTAAGATGATAAATGAGACATCA